CCTGCCCCACCGGCCCTCAGCCCTCGCAGCAGCTGCGACTTTGGAAGGATGTCCGGACATCCTCTTATTAGTATAGACAGCCAAGCGATGGAAGCAGCCCAAGTGTCCATCAATGGACGAGTGGATAAAAAAGCTGTGGTGTATATACCATGGAATGTTACTCGGCCATAAAAAGAATGAAGTCTTACCATTTATGACAACATGGATGGACCTAGGGCAGTGATGGTGAACCTATGACACGTGTGTCAGAGGTGACACGCGGACTCATTTTTTGGTTGATTTTTCTTTGTTAAATGGCATTTAAATGTATAAAATAAATATCAAAAATACAAGTCTTTGTTTTACTATGGTTGCAAATACCAAAAAATTTCTGTATGTGACACGGCACCACTTAAATATATAAAATAAAGATCAAAAATATGAGTCTTTGTTTTACTATGGTTGCAAATATAAAAAATTTCTATATGTGACATGGCACCAGAGTTAAGTTAGGGTTTTTCAAAATGCTGACATGCCGAGCTCAAAAGGTTCGCCATCACCACCCTAGAGGGTATTATACTCAGTGAGATAAGTTAGTCAGAGGACGACAAATAGCCTACGATTTCACTTATACGTGTAATCTAAAGAACAATATAAAGGAACAAACAAAATAGAAACAGACTCATAGATACAGAGAACATTAGTCTTAATAGGGGACTGGGTGAAAACAGTAAAGGGATTGAGAAGTAGAGATTGGTAGTTACACAATAGTACAGGTAAGAGATACAGTCAGTAATCCATAATAATGAAAGTGTAGCATGCAAGTCGACCGAACGGCTGAACAGCAGAACGACCATCCGGATGACCTTCGGAACGAAGCTGGGGTTGCAAGGGTTTACTCTTGCATAAATTTCATGCATCAGGACTCTAGTCTATCTATCTATCTATCTATCTATCTATCTATCTATTATTGTTTTCACTCCACTTTTCTTGCTATTGAATGGAAGGAGTTGAGAATAGTTGTAAATACAGTATTTACACTAATGAAATTGTAAACTAGAGGGCCACTTAGAACACTATCTCTTCTAAATTTCTTGAAAACAAACAAAAAGTGATATTAAGACACTTAATAATTGTCTTGTCCTTATCAATTAATACAGTTAAAGGCAGGCTGATGTTCAATTCCTGGTTCATTAGACTGTTAGGTGTGATTCATATAAACTAATTATCAAAACTAATCATCACTGGTCTTATGTTGTTAATCCCTCACCAGAGGATACTTTTCCATTGATTTTTAGAGAGAGTGGAAGGGAGGTGGGGGAGAGAGAAAGAGAGAAACATTGATGTGAGAGATACATTGATTGGATGCCTCTCACACGCCTCCCAACTCAGGCTGGGCATGGAGCCTGCAACCAAGGTATGTGCCCCTGAGGTACGTGAGTCAGACCTGGGACCCTTCAGTCCGTGGGGCGATGCTCTAACCACTGAGTAACCGGCCAGTCTTCCCCAGGGCAGCCTGCCTCACGGAGGAGCTGCCCACAGCTGCTGCGCAGTCTCTGGCTTCCTGCACCCGGGTGACACACGCGACCTACATTCCCAGTGCGTCCTGTCACTTGGGCCTTGATTCTGACCCCACCTGCACTGCATTTTTTCATGAAGGGCTTACCTCCCACAGCACATCACGCACCATAGGGCCCCTCCACCGCTGCCCAGGACTCCCTGGGTGAGCGTGTCCTTGAACGAAGGTAAAAACACGGGCCTGAGCGCTGATAGCACAACCCAGGCTGCCTCCCAGGGGCCACGGACGCCCAGACTCTGCTCGTCACAAGCGTTGGGTCTCTGAGTAACGAAGGGATTCCTCCCTTTTCTAGACAATTTTAACATGTGGGTTATTATTATTTTTTGTTAATATTCAGGTATGACAAGGGCAATAGTTCAGGAGACAACTGCCATTGAAAAGATCGTTTCTTTCACAAAGTTCCCAAGAGGAGGGGGCACTCCATGTCACTGGGGGCCACAGTGGGGAGCCCCAGGCTCAGTCAGGAGGGGAACGTGGGCAAGAGCGTTGAGTGTCCCTTCCTGGGAAGGAAGGGTTTACGGTGGACACGCCGGAATGATTGCCACGGCCTGGGTGTCTGGCAGCGGGCTCTGCGTGGTTAGGGCAGCGGCTGGGCGCGCATAGAGGTGCTGGGCGCGCACGCCCTGGGGGTTGGTTGGCATGGCAGGTGCAGAGCTGTTTGTATCCCTGGGAGTGGCCACCCCTGGGCGGGGCAGGCCCTTCAGTGTCAGCAAGGCCCCCAAGAGGCAGCGCCAAGGATACAGGACAGAGAGGCCAGATGAGCCCAGGCGACCTCTGTTTATAAGGCGAGCATGAGGGGTGCATGGCCTGCGGCCCGAGAGGGCTGCTCTCGCCCCCCCTGGCCAGCTGCTGTCTGTGTCCTCGGCCTCTTTTCGAGGACACTGATGCGGGCAGCCCTCGGCCTGGGAGCAGGGAGGCCAGAGCCCGGGGACCTGGGAGGAGGCCAGACGAAGGGGAGGCCGGGGGCGGGAGGCTGCACATAGCGAGTCAGGGGGGCCGCCTGAGGGGCGGTGAGCAGAGCTGGCCTGGGCTCTCCCCTGGGGACAGAGCGCTGGCCGGGGAGCTCAGGTGTAGAACCTAGTCAGAGTGAAACCTCCTCCCCCCCAAAAAGACAATTGATCCTGGGCAATCACATACAAGAAGCAGCCAGAGTGCATAAATAGTGGAACAACACGTCGATGTTTCTCTCTCAAATCAATAAAGAAACGTTTTGTCTTTTTTAAAAAAGCAAGTAAGGGTTAGTCTTCTACAAAGTAGAGACACACTCAGTAGGGAGTATTCATGACCAGGTGGTAGCAGTGGGCAGCCAATGAAAACTCCAGCAAGATGACTGGCAGCTTAGAAACTGGGTACAGAGAAGGTAATGAGGTTTCGGCATGGAAATCTCGAGGTCACCGGGAGGATCGCACTGACGTCGCCCCATGCCCGGCCCGGCCAAAGTGCGTGGTCACCGGGCAGGTTAACTGAGGCGACCTCCTGGCACAGGCCCCTCCCGGGAGGACGGGCTGAAGCATAGGGTGCCCGCCACCCTGAGCGCCGCCCAGCCACACGCCCTCCTGAAGGCTCAAGCCACTGTTTCCTAACCTCAGGGCATTTTCTGGCTTTGAAACCCCAAAATCATTCACTTTTAACTTATCTGAGCCTTTATGTTTA